CTAACTGAATCTTTGGACTATCATTTGGCATTGCTTACAAACTGGCGAATGTAAATTCGCGGTATATACCGTCCGTAGAATTCGAACATTTTAACCATTCCTTTAATCTGTCATCTTGCTCTAACGCAGAGGTGAGGTAATGCATAGATACATAGCGCAACATAAAAAGGATCAGCTTCGAGATTGAACCAGTACACGTCATAAGAGTACATACCAATTCATACGAGATCGTGAGTCAAGAATTAAGGCAAAATATTATGAGGCACTTCCGATAGGAAGCATTGGTGCGTTAGCGACTATGCTTTTTCCGCAAAAACTGGGTGTTCTCCTGCTCCGTAGAAAAAGCGTTGATCTTTTCCTGCTCCCGAAATGAAGCTCCTTCCAACTGTTCTCCCGCTGCCAAAAAAAATGCATTAGGGATCGCACTTGATGAGGAATCAAGTTCCTGTTGAGCAATGTTTTCGACTCCTAGATTTCTCACTTGGGAAGCCTCTCAAAGACCATAAAAGCGATTAGACTGCAGTATCGCTAAGGCGCCAATGCTCCAACGGGTTACACTAAAGCAAAAGCGGTGAGGAACTCTCGACGGAGGCTAGAGACGGGACACGTACGAGGTTGACCCAGCGTCAATTAGCAATGCTGGCGACATGATGTCATAAGCATTGCATAGAAGGTGTTCTCTACCTATGACTCTTTTGAAAAAACGATTACAACGACGTATATCATACAAAGCAGAGCGAGCTCGATTTGTGGCCGGGTGGTTGCTACTTTCCAGTGCCGCACTGAGTGCTACAAAAGGGTCGTCCGTCTTAATCTCTTCTATCAGGACACTGCATTCGTTTGTCCAGGAATCGAATGCGAACACGATGACCTGACCGAAAGGGGGACGCCATTCAACTTCCAGATAGACGAGATCCTGCACAGTGTCCATTGCCCTTTTATAGTACACGGCCGATGAGTAGATTTTGCTCGCTTTGCACAAGCGGAAACTGAAATCTTACTCTTGCGTTCTCATAGACCTCCCTATACCTTATTCTTACCTGAAACTCGTGAGATGTCGCCTCCTTTCAAAGTGCTGCTGATGTTCTATAAAGAGATCGTCCAATTGTAACATGCTTGATTGCGGCACGTGACACTCATTTTCAAGTATGCAATCACCCGGAGAAGGCCTAATAGTTGAAAGGTTGATTTCTACCATTGCCACAACTAGTAAACCCTAAATATAGGTTACCTAAATGTTTCGCCTGCTGTGATTTCTGCATACAAACGGTCCATGTACTTGATGCTGTATCGCTGTGTTTCCTTCTCCAGTTTGTCGAGCAGGTACTTGCGCAAAAGGAAACTAAAAACCGGAGCGTTTATGTGTAGTGTGGGAATGAAGCTGAGAGAGGCTCTAAAATGTGCATACTTCTCCACGACTGCATCTTCGACGTTAGTAGTGCATTGAGCTATACGGAGCTGCAGGCGTCGATGCATACTTTCGAAGACACTTGCGGTCCATTGATACGGTGTTCCGACGTCGTATATATCTTCCAAGGAGCGCATGGTCGACAAAGCACTGCAGAGTGGAATTGGTTACTAAGACACTTCCATTCACCTATGCAAGGAGGACACTACGACACTCACATGGACTTTCAGTGTGAACAAAGTCGGTTCGACTGCGTACCACAAGTACTTCATCCCTCTAGCCAGTTCTTGCACTCCAGGGAGGTCATCTACTGTGAGCTCTGGGCTCCTCTCAATGACACGCACAAGGATCCAGTATGCGAGCACGGCGACAGCACCCACTGGGTCAGCACAAATGTTCAGAGCGGCCGCGAGAGGGAATACCACGAAAGAAAGCTGAAATGCACTTTGTAACTCTTAGAATGGACTCAAGCCTTAGAGAACACCACTGTGACAGCTTCCACTTACAGCGTCCTTCTCAGATCCGGTGGCACCCGAAAGATCTTCAAGTCCAAGAACGAACTTATCAGCGTATGTGTAAGTTGCGAGTGGCGGCTATGATGCGGTGGAACTCCTGCACGCAGTCCGAACGTACTTTCATCGCGGGCACGCGGCTTTGCGGAGAAAACATGGCTAAAGTGATCATTTTAGATAGCTACAGGGATAGAGAACGCAAGCAGCGAAGGTAACCTTTGAATATGTCGCAAGTTATGCCTTCTGATATCACATGCAGCGCATCCGGTATGCATTCATGCACCATTAAGATGTCCATCATCTGCGTCCGACCTGTACAGAATGTCTACTACAGCTTACTTATGTTGAGTGACAGCACTGAGGAAAGGGGTGGAGGTGCTAAATGCCAACAGCTGACCTCTTACGCCTTGAGAGCGCGATATCGCATCTTGAGTTAGCGAAGCGTATGTGCGACGGTCTCCAGCAAAAGGGAATCTGGGAAACCAAATCACTCGGTGGCCAACTCTTTCGCCCGGGAAAGTACAGAGATGGCATCCATACAAAGACTGCCAGCGGGGTAAGTCGTACAAAGTTTTCAATGGCCTGAAACACTTCACACTATATAGATTTGCTGTCCCGCTGCCATGTATCTCTAAAGCCTACTCCGAAATCGATGACACCATTAGCCAGTATCGGGGTGCAGAACCAAGTATTGCTGTCGTGTATTATCGGAATAGCGTTCTCGCTCAGCATTTCGAGTTCTTCACGAAGGCTGAAACACACCAGGTTCAACCCTCTAATAGGATTGAGTCGACTGGACTTAGTAACTAACTGACCGCCCAAACATTTCGGTAGAAGCTTTTCCGTGGGAGTTTTCTTGTGAACGTGATTCCAGCCAAAACTACGTTTTCGATCTTGTTCTTCTCCTTGAATGGAAGCCCCTCGAGACGGATGTAGATAGGCCATGCCTCGGACCTTGAGTTAGTAAAATCACGATTAACTGACGAGCCAGATTGCCTTAAGCGAAAATGAGTCACCGTGAAAGCTTCTTCAGCTTGACACCGTCGAAATTCAGCGTCAATATGATCTTAATTTTACGCTCATCGAACTCCGTGAGCGTTTCAATGGACCGCTTGTACCTTGGAAATGAGGTAGTTTCACAGCGCTTAGAACTCGCTTCCTGCAATGATGTGTAGCGGCGTACATGTGAGGGTACATGTGAACTCGGGCAAAAAAAAACGGGGAGCACGCCTACCCCGCTATGAATTTCTCTGTGAAGTTGAACGAGAGTTGGAAGAACGTTGTTGAGAATCAGCGACAGTTGAGGTTCGATTTCTAAGAAGTGGATCACTGTTCTCTTCATGGCTTTGCACCGCTTCGGAGGAATGCTACAATGAAACTAGCTAAATCAGATGAGTACAGCTGGTCAATTTGAGGACCGACCCTTGGATTCGCACATTCAGGATTCACACAGACTGCCTTAGATCCACTCAGACGTGAGTCGCAAGGGTTGCAGTAGAAGGAACTTGGTATGACCGAAGCGCTGGCGGGCATCATGCATAATTTTCTTGATTGATTTGTTCATCTTAACGAAATTTTTGTAACATTATTTTTATCACTGTTGAGAGTGTGTTGTTTCATATTGTTTTTTTTGTTTGCGTTGATCTATTTAATGTTAGTGCAACAGAATGAGCAACAAAAAAAGGCGAAAAGTCAAACAAAAAAATCTATCAAAAAACGCAATTCATGAAAATGAAAATAAAACGGAAATCCGATCGGATAAACACATTGACGACAACCATTTGTTAGTGTTCCCCGGCATTTCTTGACCAGTACCCCGGATCGACACACCCTCGCTTCCCCCTCTGCAGACTTGGCCTCCCTCCTCCTCACATCATCCTCCTTCTCTCTCAACACTGTTCCCCAGCTGCCGCTGCAGCTGGGAAACAGTGTTGAGTCTATAAATGCTCATACAGCGTTGCGGTGCTATCACGTTGCAATACTACCTCGACACAAGATCGAACCGTAATCTTGAAAGCAGTGAACCCCCTCTCTCTTTCTCCCCTCATGCCCATTCCCTTTCCCCGTTCCCCTCTTCTGGCCTCCCCACCATGGATGGACAAGACGTGAGACACAAGAAACTGACACACCGAAATTCTGGTTCATATAATGAAACCGATTTCTTAATAAATTAGCATACTTTCTAAGAGTTTCGTTAACATTAGAGACCGCACGGTGAACTCTCCTAACAACCTACGAGACTAAGTAAATCGACTAAACGATAACTATTCGTATGACATGTTGTCGTCAATGTGTTTAATCACACTTCGTTCTAAAACCCTGAAAGCAACAAAAAGAAAGTTGACTGACCGGCTCAGGAACTGTGCACCAACTGGTGCAGCAAGCAAAGCCAAATAATCGTCCAAAAAACTTGCCATTTTTTCGCTTACCCCGAAATGCAACTTTAAAAGCGGCACCATAGATAACCTGCTGTTGGAACGCTGAAAACATTAATACTTTTAAGAAATACCATGATAACAGGCTGACGTACACAGCAAAAGTGTTTCACTCACTCGGATGCGGATTAGGAATCCTTGCCTCGCCCTGGACATCGACCACATATTCTTCTTGGACTTCGTCAGCAGCTCTTCAACGTCTTCTGTCGGTTCAGACCCGGGTCTCTCTAATTCATCCACCATAGGATCTCGCCGACTTCCCGTATCCTGATCCGGAGCTTGTTCAGCATTGAGCTCAGCGAGCTGATAGGCTAATTCCACCACTCCTGCTGAATGATCGACGTTATGGATCAGGTCAGTATTGATCACAGCTAGACAAGTGATTCTACGGGAGATGATAACAGGCTCACTCACCCCTCGCTCTCAATGATTGACTTCTTCTTAACGGTCTCGGCATCTTCACTGACGGCTGCGATAGCTCTTCGTCGACGTCACGTGAACAAGAAGCGGAGTCAAAGGCTCGCTTTCGGCCCATAGAAAACACCTATACCTAACCTAGCTAGTCAATCGTGATTTCTTTAACAGACGTCACTGACATCACAGTTGGACTATGGAGTAATTGCGGTCACGAAACCCATACAGCAACGAATCAGAAGTTGAAAAATGTTTATTTATCCAAACACAAGCTAGGCAATCGTGCGAAGCCATTTTCTGGGAGAGTTGCTGTGGAACAGACGGACTCGATCCTCCATTCCCCTCAG